GCTTTGTAGCTGAATGTGGACTGGGGACCATGTGATGCTGAATATCAGTTTTCCTTCATTTTCCTTAGGTGCACTCTGTGCTCCTGTGTTTTCTGGTGTCACCACTGTAAGCATTGCCAAAAGAACTAATCCTGAGGTAACAAAGCGTTTATGTCAAAAGGGATGTCTTGGAGACACATGCAAAATTTTCTTCTGAGAGATCCTTTTGAGGAATTTTTCCTCAAAGAGATACCTGAGGCAGCATTAAAGAGTCATGCTTCTGGGAATTTCTGAATGTCTCCTGTATGAAAAGGGGCAAACTCCTTCTGCTGAGCCAGCTGTTGAATGTCCATTTATTCCAAACAGTGGTTTAGCAGCAAGAGCACAAAGTCTGCCTGGAGGCTGTTCCCTTCCTTGCAACAAATGGCAGTCCATGGTTTTAGCAGCTTGTATAAAACATTGCAAGGAGTTTATCCCATCCCCTATATGAAATACTGGAGTGGAGAAGGCTTTTGGATGCCTCTCTCTCTAAACCAATTGCTATGCCCAAGAATTAATAAAATCCATATTGAAGTGACAGCTGGTGGACAGAGCTGGCTTCTTCCTGAATCACTTGTCTCTCTAGTGGCTCATGTTCTGGGCTCAATGCACATTTATCCTTTTATTACAGCATTTATTGACTTCTATTTATTTATTTATTGAACCTCTGTTTTCTTAAGAATCATAATTGCACCATTCAAAATCTAAGTTTGGTCATATCAGCACTAGCTATTAACATAGTTCTTCCCTTTTACTCTTTAATTACTGACCTTCCAAAGGCATTCAGTGAAGAAAATAAAAATGCAGACAAGTGAGAATATATATTTCTGAAAACTTTCCGTGCCATCATGAACCAGCTTCTGTACTACTTTAACTATTTCCTCTCTTGACAATGACAGTTATTTTTCTTAATTCATTATTTCTTTCATTTTCACCACCCCCTAATTTATATGTACATCTCTCAAGCTGACAGAAACTTCAGACTGACTCAGTAGAGCAGTGGAAAGTGTGTGTCACAACAATAGGGATTCAAATGAACTTTAGAGCAGAAATTCGTTTGCTTGTTTATTTATGCTGGGTTTATATGGTAAGTGACAAGAAGAGATAAAACCATTCTTTTCAAGGGAGAGAATCTTGTTTTCCAAAGAAGTGGGGTTCAATCATTGTCAGTCTAGTAAGTGATTTCTGTTTTGAGACTCAGAGAAAAGAAAGACCAAGTCTGCCTTTGTTTTCTGGAGCTCTGTAACCTGGGTCATCCAGGTAATTACAGCTTTACTTAAGAAACAGTATGAGAGAGGAAAACTCTACCTCTGCTTGTAAGCACAAAGAAAAGACACTTGAGAGAATTAAATTGCATGATGACTTTTATAGGGCATCTGAATAATTCTGCATTCCACTTCTAAAGCTGAAAATGATGAGTTTAATATCATATTGTAGGATGCAACTGGTAAGTCTCTCAGAAGGCAGCTATGGCATCCAGAGCTATTTGAGCCTAGTTATGCATTATTTTCTGCATAAAGGCTAAAGAAAGTGTGACTATGAGACTTTGAACCATATCTAAATTTATTCCCTCTGTCACTTGTAGGTGGTGCAGCAATAGAAGCCCTAATGGGGGTGGGTTGTGGTGTGTAGATACTGGCAGATACCCTGGGGTATGGCAGCAGATAGCAGTGGGTTAAGTGTGTTTGCATGTGCTCATGTCAAGGCAAACATACGTTTATTTGCTTCATTCTCCCACTAAAGTTCTCCTATCTCCAAGAGCAACAATTTCAGAAGGTCGCCTCTCTGCTGACTTTACTGAAATTGCCATCTGTAGGTGACATTATATATTTCATAAAATGTTAATTCTATGATCCTACCTGAATTGCTAGAGAACAGTAATTATATCAAAATCTTCCAGAGAACTTCAACTGAAATATAAAACTTTATTCCCTTGCTTAAATTTGTTGTGTGGCAGTGGGGGAAACAGTTCCTACATGTAAAGCACCTATGAATATGTATGACTCTAAAGAGGAAGAAGAAATACCATTATTGTTCAGGAGCAGAGCATAATTCTTGTGAAGCTTGTGTGCAAACAAATTTTTTGCTGCTTGGCCATTACTTGAGGCACAAGGTGGCAAACTTGTAATGTCCCAGTGACTGGGCTGCTATTGTCCATTTTAAGGCCACAATAACTTTGTGTCTGGGAATAAGAGGACTTTTTCCATTAGGAACTCATGTGTTTTATCAACAATGCACTGAATTATTTTGTTCTGTAATGGAGAATGCTCAACATGTTTCCTTTTGATAAAGTAATGAATGTGAGGAGGAGAAATGTGAAACACTGAAATGCTGTTCTGCTCACACACAGCAGTGTCTGGAAGTAGTACCTCTAAATGGCAATTACTCTGGCAATGTTTAAAAACATGCTGAATAGGATGGACAGTTGCAAGTTTGGACTAAACTTAGTGAACAGGAATATGTGAAATAGAGATTTTATTTGTTCAGTTGGAGGCTAAGGAACAAAGACCATAAAAAAACCCAGTTGAATAGTCATTGTGGGCTAACTTAAGAAATTTCTTTTTAATTATCTTGAAATGGATGACTTGAAAAATGTTTTTGAACACTTGTTTGGGTGATAAGCTACCTGTTTAATGTCACAGCTTCCAAATAAGGGGTCTGGAAGCTTAATCTTTAGGTGACAGTGACATCTGTGAAGGACACTGTTCCCCCACAAATAACCATCGCAACCAGATTATTTGAAAATAGTTTTGATGAACAAAAAAGATCTTCAAGGAAATTTCAGCACTCCAGAAGACTTTCTAATATTCTCTGTGGTACTTCTACAAACAATTTCTTTGAGTAAGGATCCTAGGAGAATTTAGAAAATACTCCAGTGACATGGTATTAGACTGAATAATTTGATAATTGAATACTAAACTGAGGCTCAGGTCACTCATGTTCTGCAGGTGAATTTCTTGCTGGGTAGCCTATGGAAAATTATCTCAGTAATTTGTGCCTCTGCATCTCTGTTTGTGGTCACCTTCTTTTGGAAACAACTTGAAAACTATGAATTTACAAGTACACTATGAATACCACAAATCCTGCCATTTACACCAGCAATTTTATTTTTCTTAAGTCACAAATTATTCTAGTCTACTGTTATATATCTCACTGTGCTTCTCGATTACTTTGTGTTAGTAACTATATTCCTATATAGAATTCTGTCTGGTTGTTCTAAAATAAGTATGACTTAGGTCACTGACTTCTGTGTGAAGGACATTCATGCTTTACAAATACCCAGTTTAACTAGATTATCTGCTCACTTCATCAAATCACTGCTTTGAGACTCTACAACATGTTCTGTTTTATGGTGATATGCCAGTGTGCATCTGATCTCATCAAATTCTGTTTGTGATGGGGAAATTATCTCATGAAAATAGTATTACTTAATCTTGGTTTTTAATTTCTGTATGCTTGGAGAGGAAGAAAATCCTGTGTGGTGTTTCATCCTGTCAATGCTAATCTTTCTCCTCAGTGCTGTATCTCCAAATAGCAGATGTGTGCTTTATTGCAGGGCTGGTCCTCTATAGCCCAGCAGAATGTTTTGGCAGGAGCAAACAATTTATTGTATTAGAGTCAAACACAATCAAATGTTCCCTTTCCTACGAAGCACGGTCAGATATGGATATTGCATTAGGTAACATTTTTACATAGCAGAGGCTTAATAAGATACATTATTACTCTCTCCAGGCTGTTTAATTAAACTAAACAGTCGCTGTGTATTATACATTGGTTTTCTGCCAGGGGAAAGTAAATCTGTATTATATTAGTGTCACATACCAAATGATGTTCTCCCCCCATCAGAAGAGCTGTCACTGCTGTCACATGAACTGCACAACCCAACCTGCCTTCCCCTTGCACTGGACTGTCCCACAGCTCAGTGTTCTCAGCAGCCTGAGCAAGATTTGTGTGCTGGGGAGACTTTGTGGCTGCAGAGCTTCCTGCTGTGCTTCAGTACAGGGAGAAGCACCATGAGCATCGTGCTGCCAGCAGAGCTCTTCTCCATCCCACTGCTGAGGCAGGGACATCTGAGCCCTGGGCACCTGGACTGCTCCAGTGCTGGCCAGGTGACAGGGTTGGGCTTGTCATGGCATTTGCTCAGGTCCAGAAGCTGTAAGAATTTGGGGAAACTGGGTAATTCAGTGGCATCTGCTCTGGTACCACTCTATAGTGCTGGACAGTGCCATTCCCTGCTGCTGATGGCACTGTATGTGGTGGTCCAGGTGAGCATTCCCTCTTCCCCACTGATGCCATGGGAAGGGTCTGGGCAGAGCAGGCACTTCTGTGCTAGGGGATCCTGCTCTCTTCCTTTAAAGCAAGAGTTGGTGCAGGATCCTGTAGGGAGCTACAAGCAGAGAGGTATTCTAGGCACATGATTTGGAGAATTGTTCTGTTGAGTTACTGCTAGAAAGCAGAGGAAGACAAAACATTTGCAGTATTTCTCCTTATATACAGAAATAAACTGCACAATAAATACTGGAGTCTTTTTTACACAGTTTTGAGCCTGTTTCACCTGGCAGAAGGGAGCATCTGCATAATTCAATGCAGAACTGTGCAGAGATGGCAGAACTATGCCCAAATAATCATGCTCTAGAACTGGAAGGTGCATATTTTTATCACTGACAGTAAGCCCTGTATCACAATGAAGGATGTTTTGGCTCTATTTTGCACAGTGTCCCATGCAAAATGTTCCAATATTCTCAAAAAGAGGTAAAGAAATGTCTGTCATGGTCCTTTGTTGTATTTCACATGCCCCCACAGAGAGGCAGGAATGGTTGGGTGTATCTCAATGAGATCTTTAGTGTGGCTCCTTGGTGCTGCCACCATGGATGGGCTCAAGAATGGCAGGACTGGATTTATGGGAGGCTTCACCTGCATATCTCAGTTATGATTTATCTCGTGCTGAATGTTTTGTTGTTGTTGTTGTTTTCCCTCAACAGAAGATTAACCTGGAGTTCTATATCGACATCCATGCCCACTCCACCATGATGAATGGCTTCATGTATGGGAACATCTTTGAAGATGAGGAAAGATTTCAGCGACAGGCTGTTTTTCCCAAGCTGCTCTGTCAGAATGCTGAAGACTTCTCTTATGTAAGTCTTGTTTTACTTAATTATTTTTCCTAGTTTTTTTTTTTTTGCCTTTATGATAAATCTCTGGCTTTATTTGACTGAGTGAATTTCATTTCAGTATGAATAAAACTTTTATTATTAGCTACCATCTTCCCTCTTATACTTACCTGAACCAGCAGTGATAAGTTGTGATCTTAACTATGTCACTGAACGTATGAACAAAAGCAGGTTTTTCATCTTCTGTTTAATAACCTTTGATTCTGAATTACTGGCACACCCTGTTTTCTTCAGTTCTTTTGTCTTTTGATCAACTGGATCAACTTTATTGTTCTATTGTTTATATTAATTTGTCAAAGGTCTTACTTGTACATTCTAAATAATGACATGCTAGCAAATAGAAATAAAATTAATTAGCTTGAAAGAAAAGGTTAGATCACATCTATTGAAAGCTGTGGCAAAGGGAATGTACGCTTTTGAAATTCTTTGATATTACTGTAGAAAACTGTTCTGCAGTAGGATTTACAATTGCCCAATACTTACAATTTGGAGAGTGGGAAAGAGGAAGTTGGGTTCAAGGAACAGCTTGTACTTACCCAAGGAGGCCTCAGTGATTGAGTTTCTGGTCTGCACCTGGTTGTTTCAAAAACACATTACGGGTAAGGGGCATTCAAAGATCAGAGCAATGAAAACCTGCAATTGATAGGAGTTGAGAGATTCTGTGCTCAAGTGTGGGATTTCTCTCTGCTACTGTGGGAGATTAAGTGTTCCTCTTAGCACAAGCCTTGGTTGACAAAGGGAAAATCTTTGAGAAGATGATGTAGGAAATAGAAGCCAATAGCTAAATAAACAGCAGTCTCTCCCTTTTCACTCTCGAGCTCAGAGTTCCAGCTAGGTGCCACTGGCACTGGGTGCATTCAGCCTCCCCCTGACATCCTACTGGTCTCTTGAGGCTGGAAGCTTTTCCCCTGCCATCCATCCAGGCCATTCTTCCCAGGGAGCTGAGCAGATAGAATTGTTGGAAAAAGGGACAGCCACAAAATTTCTGACAAGTGAGGATGTGTCCCCAGGTAGGAAAGTCTGTTTTCTTGTTTCCAGCTCCAGCCTTGTGGGTTATGTGATTCGTTGGAAATATCAGATGAAGAGAGGAAAGGAATCCAAAATGGGGGGGAATGTACTGAAGACTTAAAATAGTGTATGTAAATATGCCCTACTGCCTGCTCAAAGGGGAGGGGGGAAGTGCATCGTTAACATTACCAGGCTGGTGTTTGAAAGTGTGGGAATGGACCACTGTTGTTACTAATGAATTTTCCAAAGCTTCAGGAGGTCTCATTTACATTGTATGCTGCTGTGGCCATTTGTTGGGATTATAATACTTCAACAGCAGCACTTCAAGTGAAAACTGGCGGCTGCATGAAGTGTTGTCCATAATTGACTAGCTCCATGTCTTCACACAGCACAGAGACAATGTTCCATTATGTTATCCATTGACAGTATCATTGAAAAGATTACTCTCCTTAAAGCATCTGTCAACCTTGATTGATTTACAAGGGACAAAGCACTGAAAAGGTTTGAAGTGCGGGTACAATTTTTGCCACCGTTTAGCATACATAATGGTTCTCCTTTGATGTCAAAAGCTCATCTTCTATTAATAATGCAGAGGGCTTTTGAATGCAGGCTACTTGTATGGAGTTCCACACTAATAACCTACTTGCTGTGAAATGGGATTCACTTTGGAGAAGCAGTCATTTGGGTTTTACATGTTCGGAATGAATCCCAACTCAAAGGGATTTCTTTCAGTGCTCTGCGTGATTGCAGCTGAGCCCGGCACGGGTTAGGGAAGGCAGGCAAATCCTAGTCTGCTCCTCCAGCCGAGAATCTGGCAGGAATCACGCAGCCAGATGCAAAGGAGCATGAACAACAAGCCTGAGATGATGCGATCAAATGCCTTGTGCAGTTTCGTCTGGCAACCTTCTATTAATATACTTTAGAGTGCATTTCATGCCTGGGCTGCTTTCTTCACCTGTCATTTCCAATAGGCCTTTTTATTTAAATGACAGTATCCAAGGGAGATTGGTGATTAGAGTAGGGGATGGATAGGGGATTTGTACCCACAGCCTGTTATAGGACCAAAGGAGAGTCACCCAGTGTCTCTGTGTCCTGTCTGTTGGGCAAAACATGTGACCCCACAGCTCTCTGGAAGGCTGACTGTGGTTCACAGGTTTAAGTTGTGAAAGAGACCAGAAATTCCTCATTTGTACGTGACTCCAGAAAACAGAGGCCTGCCTTTGGTTTAGCTGTCAGCGTGTGAAAAGGAAAGTTGAAAGAAGGGCTTGGATGTTTTGGTCCCAAATAAATACATGAGACATTCTTGGGCAGCTTCCTGGGCAAAAGGGACAAAATCTCTAAGGAAAACATTTTATATTTTCAATGTTTAAGGAGGACATTTTTAAACACTGGGGAGTAAATATAATCCATATGAAAGCTCTAACAGTGAAAGCTGACATACTCTTTTGAAAGGCTGACTCATTGCATTTTAGGAGCAGCTGTTGACACCATGTCTGAGTGCATTACACATCAGCCATGGCTTGGAATAGTTGCAGTTTTTGGCAGTTTTTGTAGGGATGTTCTTCATTTGACCTTTCTTGTTTGGGAGAGTGGATTAGTCATAAGGACCAGACACAAGCATTTGAGCATTTCAAGAACCTGCTAGTCCTAGGGGTGGCTAATTTTGACCTTTGTGACAGTATGAGAGGAGACCATCTGTTCTCTCAGATTCATTTAAAAGAAACAACTGGAGCTTTATATTTTGCAAAGATTGCTTTTCTTTTCAGTTAAAGACCAGTCAGGGGTACTTGGCCTGATCTGGTCAGTTTGGTTTGGGTTTTTATTTCCTTTGGACTGTGAACTAGTGGCACTTGAGATACGTTTGAGTTCTCATTTAATTTTCTTGTATTCAACTTCCCAGAAAAGAACCTTCCTTAGAAACACTGTTTGACCTTTGTGTGCCAGAGTTAGCCAAAGACCCTGATAAAAATTGGGGTCCCATTATTCTGGGTAACTTCTGAGGAAGTCCACAACCCTAAAAGCTTCCAGTCATGCTGAGAAAGAGGTAACAAGTGTGTGAGAAATTATTTGCTTGAAGAAGTTGGAGAATAAAACTTGGATGTCCCAAGTGCCAGTCTTGTTTCTTGGTCAGCAGTTCCCTGTTTTATATCACGCTCACACTCAAGAGTGAAGTCTCTAGACAGCAACCCACCCAGTTTACTTTAGGGAAGCATGTTGTTAACTCCAGTGCCATAACACTGTGACCTAAAACATATTTTAGAGACTATCATTGTCTCAGCAGTTTGAGAAGATGCAGATATGAAATGATTTGCACTGGTACTTTTTGTGGCATGTTTTGCTTGGTCGTTTGTTTTTAGTTTGGATATCAAACACAGAGCAATGAAGAAAAACATTTTAATCTCTTTATATCTTGTGCTGCCTTTCTTTGACCCACAAACTCCAGGTCTGCTGTTCTCATTTTCACAGCACCCTCTATCCAAGCTTTCTTAGGGAAGATGTCTTTGCTCCATTTTGCCTATGGCAGCCTCTCTGGGCTGTTATGATTTACCCTGGCTCTGTACCTCCCTCTGAAGGCACTGGTGGTGCAAGTGCTTGAGGCAGTAATATGAACACTGACTGACCAAATCACAACAATTTGCTCTGAAATAAAAAAAAATAAACAGCTTATGTTGCATATGGCTGGGCAAGGAAGGGGAAGCAGTAAAGTTGGCTGGAATTTATCCTGAAGTAAAATTCATACTCACTTTCATCACCACTTCCTAAGTGCCTCTCTGCTGTTTTGGTAAAAAAAGACTCTTGTCCCAGAAAGGGAAAAGCTGCTGTGTTCAGGTAGGTTTTGTTAACATCATGCAAGCTTAACAGATCTACTCAGAAATCTCTTAAAACCTGAGCACAACAAATGATCCTGCCTCCTTTTTTTGTAGTCTTGTACCAAGGCATATCCAGAGAGACAAATACAGCTATTATGTGCTTTAGCACCCCTCTGGGATGCATTTCTGCTTGCTGCTTCTTGGACGTGTTGCTCCATAAATTTATTTATTTATTTATTCTGGAGGCTGGGTGAGCCAAGACAGGAAAAGTGTTACTGGTGGCTCAGGGAGCAGACTGTAAAGTCTGTCCTCAGTGTTACAGGCTTTGGTCTCACAAGGACTCTGCCTTTTGGAGAGTCTCAGTGAAATGAAACTGTTCCATTATGTTGTGCTGCACCAGTTCACTCCTCCTTGTATTCTGAGGATTGAATTAGTATTGAAAAGAAAAGGAGAGGGGGAAGTGTTGGAGCAAATGGATTTTCTTTCAGTACTTTCTTGCCTTGTTGTTTGTGCATATAGGAGTCAACAGCCCCTTCTCCATCCCCACACAGGTAGAAATTTAGAATGTACACCGAAAAAACAAGTTTTCATAGTAATTTTATGGCGTATTTTCAAAAACCATCATTACTCTTACCTAATGTCAGCCCATGGGGGCAGGTGACAGCCTCCCAGAGCAGCAGCAATGAAAGGAGCTGCTGTAGATTGTCCTGCAAGCTGCCTCTCCTGCAGAGCATCTCAAACCCCTTCAGATGAGACAAACTGTGCTGTGAAGGAAGGGCAGAAAAGTAGTTAAGAACTGGACACCTGTCTCCCTGGCAGGATATATTTTTTGGTATTACTTTTTTAACCAGATTATATTTTTATATATGTAGAATCCAACTCTGGCTCAGGGAGCTGTCCTGGAGCAGTGAGAGAGCCAAGGAGTGTGAGCAATGGGCTGCACTGGGCTGCTCTGGAAGCAGCAACCTTAGGAAGGTTGTGATCCCCTGATTTAGGCCTGCAGAACTTCTTTTTGCCATGGAGCAAAACACTTTTTCTGCAGACTATTCAAAGCAACTGGGTGCATGATGGCTGTATTTCCCTTTTTGCTTCTCATTGTCCTAGTTTTCTGTCATTTGTAGAGATGATTATGAAAGCACTCCCAGG